AATGTGAATCCAGCTTCACCGATACGAACCGCCCGACTTGAGTGACATCTTGGTCATAGTCGGACCCGACGAACGTTCGGTAGCGATGTATCCTTGTCCATCTTGCACCGTGGTCACCACCTGTCGCATGACCGAACGTTCGTGGTTTGAGCAACTTGAATGTATCCACTTCAGCGATTACTAGGAAATCGCTACACCACCGATCCTTCTGAGATTTGGGTGTCGGCCACGTTGCAATGGCCTTCTCGTTGTCGGGGTCAGCTCGAACACCGATGTTGCTGGCGAAACAACCAAGAACTTTCATCTCTGGTGACGGGAAAACGCACTTGTCGATGTTGGCATAGAGCTTGTTGGCTCGCATGACGTCCAACACTCGACGGAGGTGGCCCAAGTGCATCTCCAAGGCCGTCTTGCCTACCTCGGCACGGCCATGGACGAATATATCGTCGAAGTACGTTTATACAAAGGCTCGCGGCGGCCGGAACAGCTGCATCACGAAACGATTGAATCATTAGACAGGCCCTGCGGCATGACGTGCCACTCCCAAAGCATACCACTGGGAGTGCTCACCGCGGTGAGCGGGATGTCGCTCTCGTGCATCAGGATCTGGCAGTATCCATCTACCAAATCCAGCGCACTATACAATACGCAACCTGCCATGTTGTTCAGCAACACATCCTTTGGTGGGTGTCGGTGCCGGCATCGACACGCTGCTCAGCTTGTTGAAAGTGTGAATCAGACACCACTTCCCGTTCGGTTTACGAACGCAGAAAGTCGGCGTCGAGTGCGGGGACTTCGACTCCCGCACCATGCCCGCCTTCGCTTTGGCAGCGAGGAAGGCATCGATCACCTCGCATTTCTCGCGAGGGAGCTGTTGCACCTATCGCCAGGTTCCTGGCATCAGGAACGGACGCAAAGTCCGACTGGCTTTCGCCTCGGCAGCGTTCCCGGCTCCACCGATATGAGTTGAGGGATCGCCTCCTCTATTACCGGGTGGAGCCTAGCGATCCTTCACGGGTTGATATTCTCGTGGAGGCGCACGATGCGCCCTCCAGTGGCCACTTGGGCCGTGAGAAGACCTTTCTGTCTGTTTCTCAGGCCTTCTGGTGGACCCACATATACAACTGGGTCGCCCGGTTTGTGAAGACATGCGAAACATATCAGCGGGTGAAACCCGCATGGCCTGTCCATGACAAGGAGCTCCTGGCAATGAAGTATGTCCTAGTGAAGTTTCGGGTACATCTTCTGGGCTCAAAGCCCTTTGTGATCTACACAGATCACGCGTCCTTGCGGACGGCTACGAATTCGCCTCACCTCCCTCAACGGATGGCGAGGTGGTTGTCCTTCTTCGCGGAATACAAGTTCCGCGTCGAATATAAGGCGGGCAAGCTGAACGTACTTGCCGACGCCCTGTCGCAGCGCCCGGACTACGAGTTGGGCCAGTTCACACGGGTGAAAACGGATCTTTATGATCGGATACGCGAGGCGTGGGCCACGTAGAAACGGACCCCAGGGGCATACGCCGAGTACATCGAGTAAGCTGGGTGCGCACCATACCCGTACGGCTGGGAGTGCGCCAAGGGCGGCTTCGGACGTGGTTGCAGACCCTCAACACGCCGGATCATGCGAAAGGCCTCGTCAAGATCAGACGAGAAGGCCCGGCGGTCCACCCGTTCATGCAGGCCAGAGACCTCCTGCTGCAACTGGTCGAGGTGGCCCGCAAGTCGAGCGAGCACGCCATGATTACCGGTCTGGGCGGCAGCATCACCGCCAGTCCCAAGGCCTAGTGCAATCTCAAGCACGAGAACACGTTGACGGA